AAAACGTTCTGCCGCCTATTGATCATCCTTTCTCTTGATGAATTTTCACATATTTATTTTGTAACTTTTGTCAGACTTTAGAATTCAATTAAATAAGATCATATCCCTGTCTTAAATAGTAAAATAGGAAGTATTTAGACTAGTAGTTAGAATTACTCGTTTCTAGTGCCTAGAAATGAAGAAGCGCAAAAAGTTCGATTTACTTTTACATTTACTTTTTTCTTCAGGTGAAATTAACTTATATTTATCACGATTAACATCAGGACAAAGTGGAGTTTATACATGTGTAGTTGAAAATGCTATTGGAAAAGTTAATCGATCAATTTATCTTGACGTACAATGTAAGATTTCAAAGTATTTAAAAAAGAATACAAATTGTTTAATTAAAATGTGTTTTTTTATTGTTAAGATGCTCCGCGTGTTTATGCAATGGAATCTCGTGTAATTGTAAATCGTTCGAATTCTGCTATACTTCGTTGTTATGTTGATTCAAATCCTTCACCATATCAAATAATATGGTTTAAAAATGGCTATGAAATATTTCGACAAAATCAATTATCAGATTTACGTATTGATCATGTTGAAAGAAATGATTCTGGTTTATATACATGTATGGTATATAATCGTTTATATAATAATTTAACACGAAATGGTTCAAGTATAATTGAACTTATTGTACAAAGTCGACCAATATTAGAAACAACATATTCAAAAATAGCTGCAGAAATCGGTCAAACAATAACATTAATATGTCGTGTATCAGGACAACCGAAACCAAATATTTTTTGGAAACGAAATGAACAAATTATGAATTGTGATGAAATAGTAGATGATAAATGTTTTTTAAGATTATTTCATATAACGAAAAAAGATTTTGGTTCATATCGATGTATAGCTGAAAATTTATTAGGAAGAGAAGAATGGACATATACAATTGTATCGAGAGGTAAGATTTCGTTCAATAGTTTTCTTAAAATTTTTACTCTTGTGATTCAAATCGGACAAGAAAGAAACTATCGACAGTTGTTTTTCCACTGGGAATTTATGGTTAGTGATGCAAAAAAAAACCGTGTAACATGGGTAGAACATTATTCAATGAAATACGAAATATTGTTAATATCTTTAAATGTACCAATTTTGCTTTTACCAAAAACTATTCGTATTAAGGCTTGTCTTGATGCAAAGTTTCAAGTCAGAATTTGAAACTGAATTTTCTTGAAGGAACTATTGCATTCTGTGAAAAAAATACAGTATATCGGCAGTAATAAGCTATGAGCCTAAACACTTTTTAGGATATTCGTAGCTCGTTAGAACCTACATGATGCACAGAGTTTCCTCTCAAAAGCCATTTGACATATAGAAACATCCCTTCGAAAATAATTTTCGGTCATTGGAAGATAACACTAGCAGACTTGAATGAGTAAATATTGTTTGATGTATCTTTAATCATTGAATCACACTACGATGAGTAAGAGTTTCATCTCTTGGGTTATTAGATTTTATGATCAAACCCTGCTTCTTAGATAATTGTTTGTTTCAAAAGTTCGATATTATTTAGGGGAAGAAGCTCACCAATCTGTCTCTAATCAGAAAATCCTTGTCCGTAAACTCTTCTATTGATCTATATTTTGAACAAAATATGTAATACTCTGCGAATATCTCAAATGATACTTCAAATTTGCAAGCTATATTGAAAATAATGAAAACTTTTATGTTTTTATCTAATTAAGGTAAACCGGAAACTCCACATGATATACGTGTATCAGAAATAACATCATCGTCATTTAAAATACAATTTTCTCCATCGTTTGATGGTGGTGGTGGACCGCAACGTTTTGTAATTGAAATTTTTTTACATGATAAAAATACAACATTTAATGCAACAATTATTAATCAAACATTACCATATAATACATATGAATATACTGTTAGAGGTAAAGATTTCCTATTATAAATCAAGAAATAAACGTAATTAATTATTTAGATTTAAATGAATCATCTTTATATATGTTTCGTATTAAATCAATGAATACGTATGGTGCAAGTCCATGGAGTATTGAAACATCTGTACAAACAATGGAATCCATAATAACATCGGATGGTATTGAAAATGTTTTTTTTAAATATAATTGAAATTTTTTTTGTGCATGTTTTTTATTGTTAGATTTACCGCAATTACGTATTATATCGTATAATACGAAAGAAAATATTCTTCATTTTGACTATTTACCTGGTGATGAACGTTTAATAAAAATAAATCATCAACAGTTATGTTTAAATATTCGTCAATCAACGGATGGAAATATTTATCAATCAATTGGTCAATGTTTATCTATAGATAATAATCGTGTTAAATGGATTATAAAAAGAGAATTTCCTTTTCTAAAATTATCAATTTGTTCAAAAAAATATTCTCATATATGTGGACAAGAAACTGAAATGAAAGAAGGTTTTGATTTTATTTTGAAATTGGTTTTTTTTGGTTTTTAATCAAATTTTTTTTTCTATATTAGATTCATTTAATCGAAATTCAGCACCAATGATAATTGGTATTGTTGTTATAACTAGTTTTCTTATTCTTATTATTTTAACTCTTATTGGAATATTATGTTGTCGTTGGAGAAAAAATCGCTTAAAATCAAATGCAGATAAAACAAATAAATGTAAGTACACAAAACTTTCATTTAATCTTAGGAAATGAAAGAACATATCGATGATATTTATTCGAGTATTATGATTACATATGAATATATTGAGTTTTATTATATAGATTTTGCAAAATAATGAAAATATCTCTCATAGGTTATGAATCAATCAACTCAAAAGTGATATAATACTTGAAATAATCGATATATCATTGTATTACAATCCTTGTCGTCGATTAGATAGTGAGCCATCAATGATTATAGATAATAAATAGTTTGAACCATAAATTTCTACGATGAGCACTATTGTCTTGGCAGTGACAACAAAGTTTCTTAAAACAATCATCGCGATGCAATAAGTATTTTTAGAATACCATTGTGATAGGAATTTGTTTCATACAACGTTGGAAAAATGTATAATCTCACACAGAATTTTGGTATTCCATGAGTTAGTAACAAGTGTTTCAATTCAATAGCATCCCAGTTGGAACCTTTTGGGTCTGATATTTTTGTACGCTAACTGGATGCTTGCTTCAACAAAACACTTTAGTCTAACGGAGGAACCTTCTCATTGGTTCTCTTTTGATTTCAGTAATCTTCTTTGCCTATAGGTGCTATATGTTGTTCTAATAAAAACTAAAAAGATTTTGTTCCTATTGAGTTTTGGCTAAGCTATCGAATTTTTAATATGACTATTTGTGTAGGACCCTAGATTTTCGGAAAACTCATATTTTCGAATTTTGATCTAAAACTCTGTGCGTATATAGAGAACTCAACTACACTATCTTCCATGAAACAATTCAGAAGTTTTAAACAAAAGTATCTTAGAGATACGAGACTTTCAAGATAATATAGAAGCTAGTCTAGTTAAGTTCTGTATATACACACATTTTCTGAAAATTTGGGATCCAGAAAAAAATACACACATTAAAAATTACATACTTTAATCAAATATTAATAGGAACCCAAATCCTTTTTTCCATTGAAGTACTGTGTAGTATCTATACGCAAAAAGAAAATATTGATATCGGAAGAGATTCCCTCGTAAGTTTGATAGTCGCTCGGGATTCGGCTACTAACATGTCCTGCATATTATAATAATCAAGTCATAATTGACTGTTTGTTTTAGAGTATGACCCAATGGGTTGGTCTGAGACCAACCTAAGGGACTGTAATCACAATATTTGTAACATTCTTGTTGAATGTCATTGCAGCAGCAATACTTTATTGCTTGCAATGGATATCTCTCATTTAAAGAGGATCAGTTTTGATTACAGGTTAACATTTGATGAATTAACCTTGAATACTGTTATCAAAATCAACAATTTTTATTTTTAAAGAAGAGAAATTAAAAGTTAGGTTTTCTGTTCGTAGCTGGGAAAGACTGGTCGAATATTTCCTATTAACTCTGTTCGAATAAAACTTTTGAATTGTTTTTTTTTTGTAGTTGCTATCAATGGCCTTGAGAGCGGTGTTAAACCGTAAGTATATAATAATCATTTAGAAAAAAAAAGCAAATTGTATTTATAACTTTCTATTAGAACTATTTCTGAACCTCGTCTACAAAATCCATACTTATTATATAGTAATACAAAGTCTCAAACATCTCAATATGATTTTTCGGCAAATGAATATCAACAACGAAAAGTTTCTAGTTCATTTTCTCGTTCATGTAATTGATTCATTATCTTTATTTTTATGATATATATATTAAACTTTATATCATCTATTTTTTAGGTGATATTGTTGATCGAGATCAACCAAAAGATGAAATGTCTATACATGATACTGGTTCTGCATGTAAGTCATAGTACTTTTTTTATAGAAAAAAAAAAACAAAGCAACATTTTTTATTATATGTAGATGGTACTGCAAATCGTACAGCAACAATACGTGCATCACCTCATTGGTTAATAAATAATGGTGGAAGTAGTTCTCGATCAGGTTCAAATCCGTCATCGGAATTAAGTTGTTTAACTCAAAATACAAATATTTTATTTATTAATAATGAAACAAATTCAAATGATACACCACCTTCAATATCACATTATGGTTTTCCATCATTATCAAAAAATCATCCACTAATGAATGGAAATTCAACATTACGATCATCATCATTTGATCAACAACAATCATCAAGTGGTAATTCAACACCAAATCGTATGAAAAAACTTTTCTATGAAGTTGTTGTTTAAAATTTCTTCCTTTTTTTTCTGTTTACCGGTGATATTCTGTTTATTATATATTTACATTCATCAGACATGTATCTCTTGCATTTGTGTGTGTGTGTTTGATTAGTTAATATATGTATTTCAATAATAAAAAGAAACAAAAATTTCTTTTTTGTTTTGTCTCTCAAGAAGTTACATATCCAGTTCGTTTTATTCGATGCATTTTACGAATATTTACAGCATGACGAAGACGTTCTATTAATTTTTCACTTCTTTTATGTAAATCATTTAATTGTTCAATAGCTTGATAACCACGACCACTTTCAAATATTTGACTCATATTAAAAATAAGAGTTTCGAATGGATATAAACTATTAGCAAATTCAATTGGATTATTGGCATAACCATCAGCAGCTACAGCAATAAATTCACATACACGATGTAAATAATTAACATATTTAACCACTTCATATGAATGTTGTAAAAGTGCTTCACGTTTATCAATTTGTGATTTCATAAGTGAAGTATCAAAAAAAGTTCCTCTATCTAATGGTATTGTCCCAATAAGACGTTTAACATTTTCATTTTGTTTTGCTTGATTTTGAAAAGCACGTCTATTTCGATGATAAATTGCGTGTTCATAAAGTCTTCGAGATGGATTACGATCTTTAGTTAGAATTTGTTTTTCAATTGATATTTCTTGTTTTGGACATCGAAATTCACCACTAGATGAAAAATGATCTTTCCAATAAGTAGCACAAAGCCAACAAAATTCAGCACCACATCGACATGTCATATGATTACAACCACCTAATATACGATAAAAAAACAAAAATTTATTTGGTTTTTTGATAATCAAATAAAAACTAACCATTTTTTTCAATAAAATTATTACATGA